CCCCCCCCCCCACACCTACTGCTAAAGGAGCCACTGTGAAAAACCGAAGCTTTTAGAGCATCTGTGGATTCCTGAAGAGAGTGAAATCATAAAAAACATGAATGGTCAGGAAAGCTGATTCCAAACACAAACTTGGTTTCACCTGGCCCTTTTTCAGTGTAGAAAAGAATGAGAACAAGGGGTTTGATTTAGGTTTTACAGGGATTTTTCTGCATTCTGATGTGCTTGGGACTTACAGGGGGAAAGGATTTAACATCAAAGTCTCTCTTCTTCCCTTGTCACACAGCCACCTTTACTTATCTCCTTAACAAAGATATTTTTAAATCCTTGAAATCTGAAATGCTCTCCTGATTAAAAATTCACCTAGTCCTTGAAGCAATCAAACTTCACAGTACTAAAAACAAAACAAAACAAAACAAACAAACAAAAAAAACCATTTGCAGCCTTTCAGGAGACAAAGGGGAACTACTACTAATTTAGTACTAATATTTTCATCTTAGAATAAGGAAATGGGAACATTGAAAAGTTAACTAAATTGTCCAAGGTCACAGGGATCATCCAGCTAGGAGCAGTGTTTCTCAAAGTGTAATACAGTAACTCCTAAGAGACACTTTGTGTTCTAAGAACTGCTCAATCCTGCCAAGAGCAGGAAACACAAGGATTGGGGTAGAGGCTGTGAATCAGGCCCAGATAACATATCACTAGCAGGTCAAACCTGAATCATGACACTAGGGCTGGAAACTGAGTAGTCCAATGTACTACAAGAAGCATTTCATTACCTTGGATAAGAGCAGCGGCATGAAGTCCCAAGGCTGGGCAAGGGGAGTCCCAAATGGGGGTCTTTGAGAAAGGAGTGGTCATTGTTACCAGCACATTAGTAAACGCTTTTTTGAGTATTTAGGCTGGAGAGGCAGACAGTAGGGTAATGAAATAATTGAAGAAAGAAACACAACAAAGAAGTACTTTCTTGTTCCTTAACTCTAGTAGAAGAAAAAAAGTCTAAGAAATTAAATTTGGTAATACAAATTGTTTTAATAACCCCAGAACTGACACGCTGCATCATTTATTATAGGCTAGAGAGATGACCCTCTATAAATGATGTTATGGGGGGGGGGGGAAGGGGGAAGGGGAAACCCAATACCACCAAATGACAGAAATTCATCTACCATTTTAACTCTTTAAACAAACTGACTGACTTTCAAGGTAGATATAAGTACCAAATCTAAGTACCCAGACAGCAAATGGGGTTTGGGTCACAAAATATTAAGGAAGTAATGGCATTTTCTTTCCTTTAATAAAGTCAATAGACTTATCCATTCAATGGATAGTTACTGAATGCCTCCTATGCATGCAAAGCACTGTAAAGCCACCGATTTGTTTCAAAGAATAAAGCAAGAGATGGTTGTTTCTGACAAGCTCTGTCTTCAGCCTAAGTTTCATTCCACGTGATTTTGTGCTGAGAAAAAATGACTAAGAGGCAAAAGAGGAACCAGAAAGAGGGTGTTCCAAAACTCCTACGAAGATAAGGCTCTATCTCATGCTTACAAAATAGATTACAAAGCCCTAATTAACAAAGAAGTCTAGGAGAAAAGTCTTAGTCTATCATTCTAAGAACTTGGTACATTCAAAATACAAGCGCAGGAGCGTTCTCCAAAAGGTATGACGCAGGGGTTTCTAAACAATACCTCCTGCTCTTCGGTAATTAATCTCGCTTTAGATCAGGCCCCAACTACCTGGCGCCCACTAGATGCAAGGCCTGGGCTCAACGTTGCTGCACAAGCTTGTCCTGTGCAACTGCGACAACATGTGAGGCACAAAGGGCATTTCTGTCTTATTTGATCCTTTCCTTTAAAGTTTAGGCAAACGAGGCCTCATTTGAGTGGAGGGCAGGGCTAAAGGGGCGAAGAGTCGTCTAGAGACAAACCCCAACTTCTCCTTGAGTCGATATAAACCTATTTCCGATGCGCCCTCCCGGGACAGGCCCGTGATGGGAACAAATTTCCCTAAAACCCCTTGCCAAGGAGGGTCCGTCGGAAGTCACCCTCCTCACCCTCGGCCCGGCGAACACGGAAGCTGCTGCGATAAGACGTCGGGGGGCTGCAGGAGATAGGGGCCTGACTCTGGAGTCCAGGGCCGCCCCAAGGTCTCTGACCGGTGCAGGTCGCCCCCTCCCCCGCCCTGCCTGGCCGGTCCTCGCCGCGCGTCCCTCCCAAGGCGGGCCTGGCGCACTTACCCCCGGTTGGGACCTTTAGGGATGAACCAGGGTACCAAGAAGCCGACGAAGCCCCAGAACACGCTCATCACGATGAGAGGCACCGTGAGGCCGTTATACGCCATGGTTGTCGCGGAACCTGCCAGCCCCTGCCCAGCCGCCTCACTTTGGTCCCACCCGGAAGTGTCAACACCCGGCCGCGTGACCAGCGCGCACACAGTCCCGCCTCCCGCGCCCCCACGTGACCCGCGCGCCGGACTCCGCCCCTCCCTAAATCCAGTGCATTTTTTTATCGTGGACCACCGTTTCCCTGCACTAGCCACGTTTTCTTACCTCGAATTACGTCCTGATTTCTTTCTTCACTTAGCAGAATAGATTCTTGGATTAAATAGGAAGTTGGACCAATAATCTTTAACATCTGTACCAACTCTTCAAACACGATTCCAAGCTTTTGATCTGACCAGTAATATGGGAAACTAGGTCATCGTTGTGTATATACTGCTCCCGGAAAACATGCTAGTTAGAAACTCTGTTGTCCTTAAGTTCCAGTCCAAGCACTGCCTTCTCCGAGATCTGTTTCATTCCATTAGTGTTTCTTTTGTGGCCGTGTATCTTAACCAACACTCTAGTAGAGGGCAAACTCCTTCTTGAGGACAGGCACTGTTTAACTGATGGTTGCTCCTCAGGAGTACTTATAGGTAGAATGTGCTCAATAAACACTTTGTATAACTGAACTGAGTAGTTAAGGGTGACGTCAGCCATAACTAAATTAGAGAAAAAAGTTTACTCCTTTCTTCCGATTTTTTTCTTAATTTATTTTTAATCGTGGTAAAATATACATACAATTCACCCTCCTAACCATGGAGGGTAAAGCCCAGTAGCATTAAGTATATTCACATTGCTGTGTACCCAACCTCCAGAACTTTTTCATACCCATTTAACAACTCCCCATTCTCCCTTCCCCCAGTCATTGGCAACCACCATTCTACCTTGTTTCTGTAAATTTGACTACTCTAGATACCTGATATAAGTGGAGTCATACGGTATTTTTCTTTTTGTGACGGTCTTGATTCACTTAGCAGTGTCCTCAAGCTTAAGCCATGCTGTAGCATGTGTTGGAATTTCCTTCCTTTTTAAGGGTAACATTCTACTGTGTGTATTTGCCACATTTTGTTTCTCCATTCATTTGAAGATGGACATGTGAGTTGCTTCCACTTTTTAGCTATTGTGGATTTTTTCCTGTTTCTTAAATAAAGGCAAATATTTTCTTTTAAGTTGATCCCACTAAGTCTAATCTTTTATTATTATTATTATTATTTTAAATGTTTATTTCTTTTTGAGAGAGACACAGACAGAACTTGAGTGGGTCAGGGGCAGAGAGAGAGGGAGACACAGAATCCAGAGCAGGCTCCAGGTTCCGCGAGCTGTCAGCACAGAGCCTGACGCCGGGCTCCAACTCAGGAGCCGTGAGATCATGACCTGAGCC